CACAGAACACAGTCATCTGGTGGCCCTCCTGGGCACACCCGCTGCAGACTGCGACAATATATATATATATATATATATATATATATATATATATCAACACAGTTGAAAACAGTATTATAATTAATATTTTGTGGAAATTTTGATTTTTTAAAATTATTATTTGAATAGAAAGTTCAAAAGAACATTTGTTTGAAATATAGCTTTTTTTTGTAAAACATAAAAGCTTTCCAGTGTAAAAGTCTTTACGGTCACATTTATATACTGTCAGTGAACAAAAGTATTTGATCACTTACCCCAAACTTTTGAATGGTAGTGTATGGAAAACAACACTGCAAAATTGTATATAATTTGGAAAATCTACATGGGAAATGACATAATTTACATTTTTAGGTGAACCATCAATTTAAATATCATAAATATCTGAAAAAATTAGTGCATTAACAAAACATTGCTAAAACATCTACTGAGTGTTATTTTAACACCAAACAGGAAATATTTTATTAACATATTGCACAGTAGATGTTTAATGTAATGTCCAATAATGAACAAACTCACTGAACAGACATGTTGGCAATGTACTGTACAGCATGGGTGTTATTAGGGACTATGTATAATAAAAATGATATAATTTTTTGCTTTTTCTATCTTTCTAAATTGATGGCCACATTAAAAGCTCATCTATTCAAACTGAAAATAAAAGGTAAACAGTAAGGTTTTAAAAATCCATGCTAGCCTGAAAGCAGCATATTCAGCTACAACATCCTAAACTGCTGAATAGTATTGTAGCTCACTGGAGCACATCATTAATTTTTTTCATGAGACTGCAACACTGCCACAGGTTTAACACATCACTATGTTTATGTATTTAACTGAAGGAATTACATGTCTCATACACACTTTCCTATGCCAAAATGTGCAAAATAGCTAATAACATGTAAACACCATCATTTCACGTTCATTCCCCTAAAGAACCCAAGCTAATATTAACATTTAAAGGCATTTCAATGCCTCCCACAGACTCCTTCCCCTGAGTCTACAGTCTGACTACACATGCACAAATGGATCAAGATTGATTTTTCCTCTGTTATTGTACCTGCATATACAACTTCAGGCTAAAACCCGCACGATTCAGTTAGTGAATGCAGCTGTTATGTTCTTTTAAATTCACACTTGAAGCTGAAGTGTGTAATTTCTGCGTCAGTAGCCTCAAAGTATGTAACTGCAAAAATAATGATTATTTACAAGTGAGAGTTTCGCCCCAAACACATGCTACTGGTTAAGTCAATGTTGCTCTATTAAACTAGTCAGGATGTTTAAAAAAAATGCTTAGTTTTCACACTGCAAGGGAATCACCTTACAAATGGCTTACTTAAAGTTTTAGCTACATATTAAGTAAGTTACATTTTTAACATAAAAAAATTAGAGGCCAAACATCACCTTGAAATTTAGAAGGCAAATATTATATTGCACAGACCACAGATGAACAACCCTCTCAGTGTAGACACTCTCAACCTCAAAATCATATTCATAGACATTCGAATGTGAACTACAGCTTGTGGGGCTGTACAGAAACGAGCAGGCACAGACTCAGTACAGTTGTTTGAAAAGCTGAGCACCCATTTTAGAGTAAAGGATCAAGAGTGGAGCAAATATCTACAATACAGACACTACAAACCCACTCCATGTGGTGAGAAGTGAATATATCCTCAGCCAAACACAGCCCTAGCATGAAAGATATACCTGCATAGGGATGCTAGAGAGCTGCACACTGTTAAACAGATGCACAAAAATAATTAGTACTTAATCAATTGGGCAGACTTTCTAGTGTTGTTTTCCATGCTAGACTGGTTAGCCATATCACAAAAATGTGTGTTGTTGTTCCACATGTCATTGTCAACACAGCTGTAATTCAGCTGCAGGTAATCAGAGCTGTGTTAATATTCAGACCATTGTTTTAACAACACAGATCACTAGTCAGGAAGTTAATAATGAGTTACATTTTAGACACACAGAATGATGTTCCTGAATGAATCAGCATTTTTGAATGAATCACTTGAGCAAATGATATACTGACTTGCTCAAAGAATAAACAATTCAGCGTTTTTAAATGAATTCGTTGTGTGAATGATTCAATGACTCACTCAAAGACTGAATGGATTTTTGAACTAATCAGTTGAGTAAATTATTCACTGACTCACTAAAACACTGAATGAACGTTTTTGAACAAAACTGTTGACTGAAAATTCAATAACTTAAATACAGTTGTCTAATTCCTGAATAAATCAACGTTTTGAACACTATGGCTGATCGCTTGATGAAAAGGTTCACTTTTTTAGGTCTCCACCTAATGGCGTAAAGCCGCAATCATTCTAGACTTTGCTCATGTGAAATGTTAATAGACACTGAAATGGTCATAATATGATGTCACTCTCTCCAGCATCTTTAAAAAAAAAAAAATAATAATAATAATTCTACATATAATACATCTAAAATGTAGAAACATGTAATCTACTTCACTTTACTGCGATGCTCCAGTCCTACAGATTTAAAGTTTACATTCTTTTAATTTAGCTTAGAGGCCAAGCCGATCTTCTATTGGTAACATCTTGAATTTTGTATGTATATACAGTACATAAGCATTTGTCAGTTCATAGCCAGAATAAGGAGCAAAATGGATCAGGCATTGTGTGGATCAAATATCTGGCTATGTGAAACTAATGCACCTTCATCCCACCGGTGGTTTGGGTTAAAGCATTCAGTTTGCAGAACTGACATGCAATATCCTCAACATGTGTACACACCTGCACACATACACAGCTGCTGATTGTTGATGATCCAGCCAGCTCATAAAATCAGTGAATCACTGATCTCTAACAAGCCACTCGCTCCTCTCAATCCACTGCACCTGGTCAGCACAAGGTGTTTCTGCACAGACTCATCCCATCCACTGCGGCTGTTCCAGCACCAGCTGTGCGGGTGATTTATAGCAGCATGATTCAGAGAGATTACACTGACAGAGCAGCAGCAAACACAACAAACCGTTCCTTTCCAGAGATCTACACCTCCAGAGCTGAATAATCACACAGTCCATCACTGGCCAGACCCTCCTCATCTCACTGCCCCTCTTTTGGTCTCACGTACAGCTTGTGGCATAGCCCCATTCATTACAGCTTCTGTCACAACATCAAAAGACTGGCAGAGCGCTTGACACACTGTGAGGCCTATCTGACCTATTCCTTTCACTCACAGCCTGATTGAAGACAAGTGTGATGATCATTTTTGTTAATGCATGTCAAATAATATTCCACTTAGATCAGTGATGGGCAAACTTGGCCCTTCCAGGCCACTTTCCTGCAGAGATTTGATCCAACCCTGATGTGACTCACCTGCCTGTAGCCTTCTAGTAGTCTTGAAGACAATAGGAAAGTGGCCTGGAAGGGCCAAGTTTGCCCACCCCTGACTTAGATACTAAAAGAATAATTGACCCAAAAATGATTAATTCAAATGAGTCATTTATTATTTTTTATCTTTCAAACATGTATATTTTTTGTTAGGGAAATTTTATAAAGAATTGTAATAATTGAATATATCAAATATCTTAGAAAATTGTGTTCCCAAAACAAAATAAAGAGTTGAAAAATGACAGGTGTGAGTAAATAAATTACAGAAATTTGACAGATACTATTGCATAAGCTATTCAATGTTTTTTAGCACTTTTCCAAATGTTCTGGTTGTTGTATTGTCAGTTTATGATCTTTTATGTTTGTTGTATTACATTTACGCATTTGACACACTTTTATCCAAAGTGTTTCTTCGAGATATACATGTCATCTGTCACAACTGCTACTGCCAGGAGCCAAGGAGGAAA